TTAAACTAGTGACTCACCCTCGCCTCACTCGGGTTCGTCCCTGGATACTTTTTTTTTTGAGCGGAACTCTAATTCTTTTTTAAAAATAAAAGTAGCCTATATTACTCCCTATAACATCAGTTACCTTCCACTGAAAGTCCGTCAAAATCAGTCCAGCCGTTTCAGAGATTATTCGGAACAAACAGACAGACAAAATTTTTTAAAAATTAGTTTTTCTTATAAGTACCGTATATAATTTCATATGCATTTAGTGAAAAGGTTTATTTTGACATTACAAACAAACACTACAATTTTATTTATCTGTATAGATGTATAGATTCATATACTTGTTTTCTGTGGCGTCACCAATTTAATGCTTGTCAGCGGTCACTTTTTATACGAGAAATAGTTCTCCTTAGTTCTACCCTCCATATCTCTTTGGTACAGACACAGCATGGCATGTCAAGTCAGCCTTAAGCCACAGATCCTTGAGACAGACAGACAGAAGGACTGCCTCAAACCGCGATATTGCCTGTCCTGTGTTTTAATATTTTAATAATTTTACCTATTAAAACGCAGTATTAGGGAATAGTATTTGACTTTAAGTATTTTAGGTAGTATGACTTGGATGGAGCAAACTAACTAATATGCAGTAAAATTTATAAATATTGTAAACTAAATGGTCTTTTACAAGCAACTACAAAACATACTACAAGTTAAACTGCAGTAAAGTTATTAAATACTGCATGTCTTTTAGTTATTCACAAGAAATTACAAAATCCCCCACAAGTTAATGTGCAGTATGGAATGTTAATACTGCATTTTAATAAGTTTTTTCTTGAATCTCCTAGAACAAACTACTATTTTAAGTGCCACAAAATATGATAAAACACTGCAGTTTAGTTAGGAAACAGAGAAAAATCTTGTGCAGTATTAATTGTACTGCGGTTTAGCTGGTAAACATGGAATATTTTAACAGATTTGTGATATTTTTTCTGTTACACCTTCCGAAAAAACATTAAAATAAAATACTTTTATTAGCGCTACAGAAAAAAGAATTAATTTGACTGATAGCTACTAAAATGGGGATTTTGAATATATAATTAACTCAAAACCGACCAAAATGTCTATTACTGCACTTTAGGCTCAGGTGGGCAGAATATACAGCCGACAGCGCTTTAGCGTTTGTATTACGTATGTATATTGAGAGCAAATAATTTATTTATATTTCAAATCTTAAATCGTAGATATTACATATTATGTGCCGATCTGATCGGGATTCAATGTAAGCCTTTTCAGAAACGTGATCCTATAATCAATAAGATTATCGGTACTTTGAATAAACTTGTAACATCTTTCAGACGTTGTTAAATATTTCACCATTCCTATTCAAAATCACTTAAATAAAAGAAAGGGTTCTTATCTTTCGGCCCCAGCTGCGTTGAGACATCGAAATGATTTTATTAAAATTATTCATTTAAAATCAGTTAAATGTTTTGAGCTTTGTTTGAAAGTTGAATGCTTCGGATAAAGGATTCACAGACATGGTGGACTATAGGTAGGATAGGTGCTTATAATAGCTGATAAAGTATTATATTTATCCGACTTTAATGAATGTTATTATGATTTCTGACAGTAAACACATTTTTATCGGAACAAAATTGGGTCAATCGTTTCAGAGATTACCCCTATATACAAACATACATACTGTACTTCAGACTTCGGAGATATAAGTGTTACAGATACTTACATATTTATATTTTATATCTTTTAAGAATACTAACAAGGGTTATTATTAGATGTATATTGTTATTGTAGAATTATTTATCTTGTATTACATATTTTTTTTTGTTCTTCTCCTAAACGCCAAGTCACGAATTCATTTGAATAACAAAGGTATTGTAAAACAAATATCATCGATAGCAAGGAGATAGATAGTGCGAGAGTACATTATGAAAAGCGAGGTGATTTCACACCCTCCCCTTACCACTTACGCACCTACAGAAACGTAGAGCTTAGAATAATATTTTTTAGAACTCAATAAAATATTGTTTTGCAAACAAAACAATTGTTAAAATTTTATTATAACTGCGAAAGTTTGTATCAGTGTGGGTGTGTGTATGTTTGTTGAGTTCTTCACCCTGAAATAGCTGGAAGGATTAAGACCGAAAAACGTAACCGAACGAAGCGAACGTAAGTCGCTAGTCTACGAGTACATTTACATACTCGACTTATAAAGAGGACAGATTTGTATTTTTGTAAATTTGTAACGAATAAACTCAAAAACTACTGGACCGATTTAGATGAAATTTGGTAAGAAGATAGTTTGAGATCCTGGGAAGGACATAGGATATTTTTTATTTCGGAAATCATCCCTTAGGGGGGCGAAAGTTTGTATGGGGAATCAACCTAGGGACAAACTCGAACGAAGCGAGGGTGAGTCGCTAGTAGTTAGAAATATAAGTATGTAGAAAGGAATAAATACATTGAATTTTACATTGTAGTAGATCTACTGTAATGATTACATTTATTAAATAGCGTTTCTCTGTGGCTTAATGTAACCGATACTGAAATAAAACCAACACACTGTACTGTTATGTACTACATTTTAATTTTCATACAGAAATGAAATTAGCTTTACAATTTTTATATTTTATGTTCAATTGTTATTAAATGTTCTATTTTTTTATTTTATTCATACATTTGTTATTTCCTAAAATGAATAATAAATAATAGCCTATAAGTCATTATTTATAAATTGAATACATTTCATAAGAAATCAGCGTACCGCCATATCCGTTATACCGCTTTTCCTAAATCCAAGAGGAAAAGTCATTGGGGATTGTAGGGTGCGTCGCACCGGCGAGTTTTGAGTCTCAGTGCCGTTTGCGCTTAGGACGCGAGAGGGCGCGACGCCGCCGGGCCCACGTGACGTGTTGCGTGACGTGATCTGACGTGAAAGTACACGTACGTAATGTAACGAGAGTGTGACATGTAGTTGATGCGTATTAAACATGCGTCATGCATTTTGTATTAAGACCTCTTTACAAACACTCAAAATGTCTAATGGTCGTTTCTTTTATAACTATTGTATTAATATCCGGTTTCTTATTTAGAAACAAACTTAAATACACCGCTTTGAATACTATCCATGACCCGTATATTCAATACGAGTCCATGATAAATGTGACTACAACCGTACCAAGGAGGACGAGAAGAAAAGAATACCTGTACCGTCTTTTAACAAATACGACCCGTTCTCTCATACAAATGGAAATAAAAGCTAGGAGACTCGAGGAAAATATGCGAAGGATTAAGGAGAAGACTACAGATTTATTATGGAAGGATAAAGATAAAGCGCTATGGCACATACTGTTTAAGAACATAAGCAGGCATATTACAATACGACATGAGTTTCATCAGCATGCCAGTTTGCATCGAATATTGCAGGACGCAAAAACCCAACATAACTATAGATTTGGCCACAGGCGTTTTCGCGTAAAAGATAATATCTTTCGTGATTAAAGATTCAAAATTGTGTATATTGTATTTTATAAGTGTGCTACAATTTGTATGAACTTAAAATATAAATAATGACAATAAACACATTGAAATATGAACGGTTGTTTCAAGACTGAATAAAGTTATAGGCCGTTGAGTTACGCAGCACGTATGTATGTATGTATGTATGTATGTATGTACATCATACAATGTAACTTATTTTTAATGTTTTTGTTTGTCGAGTATTTATAAGTTATTGTATGTCTAGTAATTATTTTCTACAAGTTTAATAGTGAAACTCATTGTTACAAAATCACTGTAAACTGTTATCATATTAGTGTAAGAAAATCATTACAGTGCAAAGGTGCGTTTTCTATAGAAAACGATAAGATCATTATTTTTGTGTACTTAATGAATATGGTGAATAAGCTATTATAACATATGCCTTTAGAATATGACGCAATGTTTGTTTAAAAGTTATATTTATTTCGATATCAGTTTTATGTGTAACTCTAACACCGCGTTCAGGCGAGGCGATTTTAGTCAAATATAAAAAAAACAGTAATACATTTCTGATAATACAACAAAGATTGATTTAATAAAATATTATCAGCACACAGCTCGGTATTCTTGCAAGCGACGTGAACATGAATGTCTAGACGAGACCGCTTTCAACGAATCATATTATGTAGGTATCTTTTAACAACTTCGAAATATGAAGGGTAATTTTTTGTTGAATCAGTAATTGTTGTTTCAATTTGATTCAAACATCTTGCGATACATCAGTTGATCAATTTTTTATTAACTGTTATTTAGGATGATTTTGTGTTGATTAATTATTGTAAAGCAACAAAAATTCAAAATATATTTGAAATCATTAGAAGTTCAAATATCTAATATGCCAAATCGTTTTAAAAAAAAGTAAGAGCTTAACTTACGGTATACTGATTTTTATTGCTATAAAAAAATATTGAAGGCTATTTTTGACGTTTCAAATCGCTTCCCACGTAACAGTTGATCAAGTAAAATCGCCCCGTATGAAACGCGATGAACATAAAATGTACCTCCAAGTTTATCGTTGTACCTTTTGTATGTATTATATTTTAGTAGTCACTCAAGTTTTACTTTATATAGCTGTATTATAAAATGAATGTACGAGTAGAATAAATTAATTATGGGAGCAATATTTATGATTTTTCTAGATGACCTGTCTGGCATCTTTAAAAGATTATTTTGCTTTTGTATTTATATTGATAATAATTGATAAGTATAGTTTTGGTTCATTTTTATTTAACTTAATTGCGATTTGATTACTTAAAGTAGTAAAAACCACTACACTTATAAAGAATAAATTATCTGTTGTAGTCTACTCGAATAAATAATCTGTATTTTATTTGCCGCCATTTTATACTTTTGACGTATGTAAGTCTTACTGTGTTCACTAGTTTGCTGTCATCTGTCAATAGAGTGAGTACTGGTGAAATTGCGTTGTTTTTGTTGAACTCATCAATAATAACAAGATGTCGTGTTGTAAGTAACTTTATCTATGCTTTTCATATCAATAATATAATTATATTTCATAAAATCCGCAGTTTTATTCAAAAATACTTTACTTTAAGAATATATGTTTAAATGTTATTTTAAAAAATATTTTTATAGAAAGTGTATTGTATTTATAAAAAATATATTTGTTTTGATGATTGTTTTTTAAATGAATTTAAAAACTCAATGGTTGTTTTCATACAAACTAGTTTCTTGTGATATGCAAATTCTAAACCGATCATCATAACTATTTTATGAATAGGTTAGTTTATACCTTAAAGGTGGTCAAATAAATATCAAAAAACATTACCTCTACGTTTGTAATATTTAGTTTAATAACATTATAATTGAAAATAAAAATTTTGAAGTCGACGTACTTTTTGGTACCTTCTGGTTGATTAATTATTATTTACTTAAATGACTCAGGACGTTTCCAATAAAAAAAAACTAAACTTAAAAAACTTAAAAAAAAAAACAATACTTTGACTTTACGTTTCCTTTTGAATTTAATTACCATTTTATTTTATCAATTTTGACAGTTAATTTATTATTTTAGACACAGCTACCTACTTCTTATTTAAATTACTAATTTGGTTACGCTAATAAAATAATATTTTAAACGAGGAGAAGGGGCCATTTATTGATATATTTATAAATTAGTGCGAGATTTCGATCTCAACGCCACACTTGGTCTTCATCAAACTGGTTGGATTTTGATTATTCACTTAGTGCGAATCGAACTTGCTACCTTCGAAGCAGCAGTTCTAGTCAAATACGTCTTCACTGCGCCGTAATGCTTATCAGACTTTGTATTGTTCACTTTATCAGTTATTACGTAAAGCTACTGTTAACATAACATATATAATATTATTATGTTTATACAATACAAGTTAATGTATAAACAAGATAAAAAAGAAATAAAAGTAAGTAAGAGATATTAGAAAATGTATTAATTATTCATTACTAGCATTGTCCGCGACTCCGCCCACGTTCAGATAACCAAAAATCAAATTCTTACGTTTTACATACCTATTAGTATACTTTTACATTGCAGTTTTTGTATTTTTTCTCAGAAATGAGACATTTTCTCGCGTAAAAATTATCGTAAATGTTGACCCGGATAACCAGCTATCACCATACCAAATTTCATCAAAATCCCTCCAGTGGTTTTTCTGTTATGCGGTAACAGACAGACAGACAGACAAAAATTCAAAAACTATAGATTCGGCCTCTGTATTGATAATAATGTTTATTTCAAAAAGATTTTCCAAAAAAATATATTTAATGTACAGTAATAGTGAATGTGTAAAGCTGGTACTATCTTACACCTTCATGGTTCCCTAATCGTTATGGTTTGTTAAATTGTAGGGCGAGAGTGCCGAAATTATAGATGAGCCTAGATTGATGATGAAGTGAAGATGGCGATGAATACATTGACAGGCTTATATTAAAATCGACCTGAACAATCAATATTATATATACTACTATACTATTATATATACTATACTAATATTATAAAGAAGTAAAGTTTGTGAGTTTGTGACGTTGTAGGGGGTAATCTCTGGATATACTAAACCAATTTAGATGAAATTTGCTAAGAAGATAGTTTGAGACCATGGGAAGGACATAGGATACTTTTTATTCCGGGAATCATCTTAATAAACAAGTATAATCCAACGAATGCAATATGAAAGTGTGGTCTACACATAACACGTATATAACACATACCTATAAGTATATTATGCTTAGTTACGATACTTTCGATAATGTTTGTCATCGCTTTCTCTTATCGTCGCTTCAACTTTAACCTTAATATCAGTAATAAAATAAACATTCTCAAAAAATAAATATAAATAAAAGGTAATAATAAAAGGTTACCTTTGAGATATTATTGTTAGTGCCCATAATGTTATAAGGAACGTAATATATGTATTTAGGTTATATGAGATTTAGATACTTGGGAGATGGGACACAAGATTATTTTTGCTCATCATTATATAGGTACGTTATTTAACAAAATTAAGATTTACTAGGCAGGCCCATCGTTTCGACTTTCGAGCGATCATTTTATTGCTGCTTTTTTGGTAATTTTAAGGTCACCTGCAAAATTTTATAAAGGAGGAATTAGTACGAATTATTTAAAATAAAAAATAAATAAACAAACATAAAAAGAATCTTTTCAGCTTATCAGAATCATTAAAATCTCTTTTGATGCTAATTCAACCATTTAGACTAGCATAACATTTAGATAGAAACAGACATAACGACCAATTAACTTTTAGTAGGTATTTGTTTGTATTATTGTACCTATAACACTGGAATCTTTAAAAACTTCAATCTTTTATTGGTGTAGATGGTTATTATAAGCAATACATAGTATTATTATAGACTTTAAAATGAAATCTGGAAGTATGGCGAAGGTAAATATAATTCCTCAGCTTAATTTCAAATGTGTATGATTTTGACTCGCACATCGAAGGTTTCGTACGACAGAATATTGTTACTAACATATGTACCTACACACTAAAATATATTTTTTTATGTTTTCGCAATACATACTTTATTATGTATTTTCAAAAATTAATTCACGTTTCATTTTATTTCTTAAAGATATTATGAGAAACTAATTTAATTTTAATAGCGATCGTAACAGTCAGGTGGGCTCTCTGCTCGTTTGTTACTGAATACTATAAAAAAAACAAAATATCCATAATAGCTCTAAAGATATTTAACGTATTGTAAATTAAGTTTTGCTTAAAGTATTTAGTAAGCTTTAGAAACTCTATTTTTTGCACATTTTTCTACTCCATCTTTTCAAAGTTAGAGGAAGAGAGAACAATCCCATCAAAAACATAAATATGAAAATGTCAACTTCACCGATAAAAGAATTGAGATCTAAATAGGTGCCAAGTTCTGTAGATAATCCTGATTTTTTTTATAAGAACACACAACATTCTAAAATAAATTTAAAACACAATTTCTTGATTTTTTTTTGCTACAGAAGTGTTTGCTGTTTAAAAATAGAACTTCTTAAATTTGAACAGGCGAATTATTTACACAGAGTAGATAATTTATGATAAATTGAAGTTCAAGATTTGATTTGGCTATGAAACTATCTTTTTAGATTTTGACGCGGTTTTATTTTACGAGTATAGTTGTTTCAGACTACCTACAAAATTATACAATTTAAAAAAGCTAAAATTAATTAAGGATAATACAAGGTTAAATTACACATAGAACAATTATATAGCTTAAATAATTAATACTATATTTTATATTTTTCTTTATGGTTATAAATATAATAATGGCAAGACTAAATATATAGTATAACTAATTAATATTTTAAAATTATAATAATTATAAAAATAATAGCAAAAATTAAATAAATAATTTTCCATATTCAATTATAATTAAAATTATAAAAATCTTTAAAGTTAAAAAATATTGTAATGTAATTGGTGCAATTTTCATTTTGTTAATTGTTGGTAGGCTGTCTGTAACAACTATACATTCAAGACATGTAACACCTCAGTCTCTCCCGTAACCATGATGGCTGTAAAGCATTCGAAACGTCGGGAACCAAAAATCAAAATAAATCCGCGAAATAATCCGAAAAGATAGTTTTATTTAATAACTATATTGTAATTTAGTTTTGTAACTTGCTTAAAATGATTGACAATCGTCAACGGCCTGTATATTTCCTTGCATATCTGTTTGTATGGAGGGTAAGCAAATTTCTGTTCAGATATGAAATAAGCAATAGAATTTGCATGATTTTTCCGGAAATTATACAGACATCCACGGTTACAAGTTCCACAAGATAACGAACTAAAATTAATCTTATCAAACTTCAAGTGAGTATGATAATTCAAGAATATTTTTAAACATTCCTGTTAAAGAAAAGATATATTGAATAATATTTGAACCTGAAATTTCTGCTATTGTAAGTACAAACAATGAATTGAAGTATGGCCCTGAACGTGATTTGAACTATGACTTTTATTTAGATTTTGTTGGCTGGTCATAACTCATAAATGTTTTGTTCATGTTGTACCATAGCAGTTTATATGTACCTATTTTCTATATAAAAATACTCGTTGTCGTGCACATTGTTTACATTCTGTACGTATTTCTTTTATGAAAATAAAGAGATAGATAGGAAGAGAGAAAGAGACAAAGAGAGACGTTTTACAGGAGTATTCTGAACAAAGGTATAATTTATTTGCAAGCATTACCTTGTACGATTACTAAAGGGTGGGTGTCCCTTACTGTCGTTGCAATTTCAATACTGTTTAATGTATATAAAAGTTAGAAGTGAAAATAAAAACATATATACATTCACTTCTACTTAGAAATATCCACGAGATCTACATTTACAGAATAGGTATAGGTATATATTATAATATTTCCATATAACAGAATAAATTTTGTTATTGGATTGTTGTTACTGAATATTTTACTGAAAAAAATATATATTTGGGCGCTTGTGTGGATTTTAATCCTTTCTTTTGACTAAAGTCAGCTTCGAAAAGTACGTTAATGAATTCTCAAATTTCGTCTCTCTATTTATCTTTCCTGATCTCTCATTTTTTTATTAGAATCTAACGAGAGAAAAGACGGGATGATAGTAATTAGTTTTAATTTTTTAGTAGATCTTATGATATAGCTTCAACTATCTATTCCACGCTCTTCCTTATTCAGAAGAGGTCATGTTAGATGGTTGCAGCTTAAAAAATACAAATTCAGGAGAAGTCACCAGCAGTATCGATATATATAAAATCCTTTTTTTTAGTAACTACAGCTTTTTACACTTGAAATCCTTGTAGTTCCAATAATAATTATTAATATAATTAAATATTAGAGTAAAAGTTATAATAATATAACACAACTAAGAAAGCAATCATATTTTGTTACTTTCTTTAGTAAAATTGAACTCAGTACCCATTAGGAATAAATTATATTTATTAAAAAATATATATAAAAGTAATGAGCTCTCAAACAAGCAGCAGCTCTCGCTAAGGAAAAACATTTCAACGACTATTGACTATATTTATTGACTGTGACAGTTCGCTATTTGCATAAAGGAATTCATTTTCTCAGCAATTTGAAATCTAAGCGGTGCGTTCCCTGCATCTTCAATGGCCAACCAGTTCAACTGAGATTCATTATAACGTCGAATATTTAAACATTGGTCGCAAACATTGGTTACAAATTTTAATACTGAAAGTTCCTACAAATTCTGTAAACGCTTTGAAAAAACGTTGAGTCAAATTTGGTAAATGAAACGCAAAGAAATAACATCAACCGTATCGAATAATGCTTTCATGGTAAATGAAAGTAGATTAAAGTTAATATAATCGTTCTATCTTAAACAAATTTTCTTTGTATTCTAGAAAGAGATTTACGTCTTTAAAAGAAATTCTTCGCAGTTTTATTAGGCTATTACAATTTAGAAAATTCTTACAAAATGACTAATTTATCGATATATGTTATTTTTTGTCAAACTGTATATTTATAAAATGAAATCTTAATATGGAAAATTCCCGTGTCACGATGTTGGTCCGCAATGAACTCCGAAACTACTTATCCGATCAGCAATCTTAACGTATTTTTTTCAAGTGTGCGATTTGCTCCAACTTGTTGGATCGTTTTATCCCGATTATTTCCGTTTTTATTACAAAATGAATGATTTTCATATCCGGAGAGAGAACCTAGGGAACGTCTACCCTAAGCTATAAATTCTACCCCCAAGCTAAAGAAAAAAAATATAAGTCTGCTAGACTATAAGAACATATAATAAAATTCTAACCGAGTCGAATCAGTGCATATTTTTTTTAAATATCTTATTGAATTAGTCATTATTATCGATACAGAAATTTTTTGACTCTCTGTCTTTGTCCGTCCGTCCGTCTGTATATGTTTCAAACGCTTTGCATAGAACTAGAAAAAGTTAAAATATAGATATAGCTAAAAATAAACATACACGCGATAATCATAAAGTAAAAAATAAATACATACATTAATGATATAATTTTAGACTTAAAATTATTTCTAATCGACCGTAGAGTCGTTACCGACATAACTCAACCCTGAACTAAAACAAGTTTCGTATTAAAATTCCCATAGCACGCATTTGCCTTAACAATAATAATTTATTTTCCGCAGGTAAACTTGGGCCGGGATACGCTTCCCCACTTGACGCATTTAGGAATGGCCCTAGGGAGGGGTTGCTTTACGTGGTGTGCGTTCAACCAGACCAGAGCAAGCAAGACTACCTAGCTACAGTGGATGTCGATCCAAATTCACCTACGTACAGTCAGGTTTTAACAGTTTATGTGTATTGATTGGCGAAAAACCTGCCAATTTGGTGGCTATGGTGGCTTTATAAAATATTTTTAATGTTTATGCAAGAATTTCTCATTATAATGTATTAGAAATTTTGTGGTTATGAACCATATTATTATTATATTTTTAAAATAAGTTGTCTTTCAAAATTTTTCAAAACTTATATTGTATGATTAAAAGTAAACATATTACCTATATTATTTTTAATATTAAAAGATAATAATTTAAATATAGGTAGATAAGTTAAAAGTGTTAGGAATCAATTATCTAACTAACACACACACTCTCTATAATTAACTAATTAACTAATTTACTAATTTAATTGATTTAGTATCAATAGCTTAGTATCATATATTATATTCGCTGAAGTAATATCGAAAAATGAATATTAAATTAGCTAAGGTTTTCCGGAAATAACACTACTATATCTTGGGTAACTGATTTTTTTTCAAGATTTTACTCAATGCGCATAGATATATTTGAGCTTAAGCTGAGAGACCGAGTGTTCCATTCAAACCTGTCCAAACGTCGATAGAGTAGACAAACATTTGTTCTGAACAATTGACTGGACCGTTCTCTGAATGAAAACTGGATTTCCAACTTGAACTAAAGTTTATACATTACCTGTAGACGTATTCACCTATCTAAGAATAATTTTTAAATCAATTTCTATAGACTTTTACTGTGGCAGTATTCTAAGATCTGATATTAATTTTTCTGTAATAAGCAACATAATTTGTTTCTGCTAAGGATGTAATAGAGGGAATAAAAGAGAAAATGAAAATGCCGAGCGCTAAATTAGCTGGGATATTAGCAAATAAAATTGTACGAACGTCCGCTTAGTCGGGAGCGATGTCGCTGGCAATAACGTTCCGGTAATCCTAGAGGATTTTAGGGTTCAGCTTGGAAAGTATTATTGTGCATCTCGTACGAACTAAATTAACAAGTGGAATGCAATATATCTTCATGGAATTTGTTTCTCGGATCGATGGTATTCCATTTAGATTACTGTGTTCACTAATCTCAAGACATTGTTATAGAAAAATTTCATAATATAATATACTAGTATGTATTATAATCACTACTTGGGCTTCACTCAGTCTTCCGGAAAAGATATAAAAATTGTGTTTTTTTTTCAGAAAGGACACGAACATAAATAAACGTAAAGATCAAATCCTTATTTATATACAAAATTTGATCCATATCGTTAGAGCCATGTTTCCGAAATACATGAAATAAATTTATATGTGTACAAGAATTGCTCATTTAATATTGTAAAATAAGATGATAAAATTAATTAAATATACACATAATAATTAATAATATATAGTTCGTAATTAAACGATTTTATAAATAGTCTTAATATATTTTATTTTTTAATGTTATATATTTAATAAAGTATGTTTATCTTACCGTTGTGAATATGTGGTAAAAGATCTACTATAATAATATCTTTTATTATTTAAGGTAATTCATAGAACGTATACAGGCAGTGTGGGAGACGAGCTACACCACAGTGGATGGAATGTGTGTTCAAGCTGCCATGATAATCCTGAGCTTAAGAGAAATCTACTTATTTTACCTGCCTTACACTCTTGCAAGGTTTTCGCTATCGATGTTGGCACAAACCCTAGAAAACCAGAACTTCATAAGGTAAATCATTTTTAGCAATAAATTTATTTTTGATATAAACTCTTTTAAACAATATTATTTATTTTTAAAACATTAATTCAAATTAACTTACATGTATATTTAAATAGATTCAATGAAATGAAACTATATTCAATGAAATATTATATATCAAGCTTTATTATTATTCCTAATGTATATTTATTTTACTGACGTTACATACGAGGTCAGCAAAATAATGAATGACCATCAAAAAGCAAAGAAATCGCTCTTTACGATGTTATAAACTCGCAGGCGTGTCGCGGACATAAGTTGGATCTTGTTCGCGCGAAACTCGTAAAACTGAATTTTTATGTCAACAGTTCGGTTAAAGTTTTTTAATTTCCCCTTATTCTGCTTTCGATAAAATCGGTTCGTTGCTTGTACAATACAAAATAAAGTGAATTTAGTAAACGTGTGCTATAATTTCTCATTAAAGTCCGAGTTTAATTAGATAGGAGCTATAATCATTATTTCCAATGACCGAGTAGTACCGAATTATTGCAAGCTATTTGTTATACTATAGTATACTCTAATTAAACCATTACAATGCAATGGTGCCCTATTTCTGTAATAGCCAATAGATCTAATATGTCAATTAATTATCTACATATTACTGACTCCCTAATAATCTCAACTATGCAGCAAATATTTGAAGCTCTTCATGCATACTGTGAATCAATGCCGAACTAAGCTAAAATTATTTCACGCCAGAATACATATAACTTGACAGAATTTCGCTATTATTTAGGTAACTGACTTTATATTGACATTTTTGAACATTTCGCATCAAATATAGTAATTTCAATATGTTAAATGAGTACATACTCATATATTTAATTTTATATAAACCTTTATCTATATTAAATATTTAAACGTAAAGATTTTATTTATTTTAATTAAGCAATACATGGGTTACATTACAAAAGTAATATATATTCTCATATAAAAAAAAATCATTAATCTAGCGTTAAATAATTTCAATTTTTGAAATAGGCTGAAACATATTTATTTACTACAATTACTTTAAAAAAATATAATTGCTTTCAGATTTACTACAATTTATTTTTAATTGATTAACCTTTCATTAATTTAAAAATTCTTTTAAATTAGTTTGGACGGACAAACGAAAAAAAATCTCTTACATAAGATAAGACACAAACTATATCCCGTTTTTCTTAACTGTACAGATTCTGCCCACCAATTCTACATTTATGTAGCTATAAAATGGTTTAGTCAATCTGTGCAAATGCCGTTCGGACCCTTATCGAATGTTCATGGCTCTAAAACCTCATTACTAGGTAATCGACAGTTCTGAGATGAGGTCATTCAACTGCACTTTCCCGCATACAGCTCACTGCCTTGCTAGTGGCGAAATCATGATTTCGACCATGGGTGATGAGAATGAAAACGGAAAAGGGGAGTTTGTACTTATTGATGCGAAAACTTTGAAAGTGACAGGTGAGTGTATAAGTTATTACGAAAATTTTCGCAGTGTTTTATTCTTTAATGACAATAGCCCTTGATTTATGAAATTATAAATGCATTAGGAACTTGGACAAAAGGAAAGACAGCCAAATTTGGTTATGATTTTTGGTACCAGCCCTACCATGATGTTATGGTTGCTTCTGAGTGGGGTGTACCAAAATATTTTAAAACGTAAGTTTTGTTTTCTATTTCTTTAAACATACAATATGATAAACATATATCATGTATGTTATTACAATAACATGTTTACTTATTGTTATACACAACTGACGAAACTTCAAAAATAAATAAGAGAATAAAGAAAAGAAGTATATTGGTTCTAATGAATAATTTTTACTAACAAAAAAAAGTACACCAACATAAAAATCACTTTAAAGTAATTATTTCAGTGGAACTTTTAACGTTAATTCATTGATTAGAGTTTTGAAAATCGGTTTACAATAAATGGCAAAGATATTTGTGTTCTTACAACAAGCACCCGAGTTTTCATATTCTCTTTTATAACTACTACTTTTAACCGTCAATTTCAACACTTGTTGGTACGTTCAAATAGACCTGCTCGAGAATAAAACCTATGACCTCTGTAAAAGCTAGTGCACGTCATAGTGACGCACGATAAAATATGATAATTAAATGAACTTTTATTTTGTTCTCGAAACTGAATTAAATTACAACATACCAAGTGTATTATGAGATTTAATAAAAGACTTATTACTTTCAAACAGAAACGAAATTGTTAATCTAATTTAGATTAATTAATTTACTTTAAAATAATAAACTTATTATTTTAAGTGATTGAAACACATAAGTATTATTTTTTACAAACGATTATCAATTTAAATTAGTTAACAATAGTTTAATTCATTTTAAATTCTCAACAAAAAATAAGTTACTTGTATAACATAGTATAATACTAGCGACTCATCCTCGCTTCGCTCGGGTTCATCCTTAGGTACGTTTTAACGGTTTGTATGGAATAAATAGACTATATATTATATGATATATAGCTATAGGTCTTCCTCAATAAATGGGCTATCTAATAAAAATAATTTTTCATGTCGGATTAGTAGTCTCTGAGATTGGCGCGTTCAGACAAACTCTACCTCTTTATAATATTAATATAGATTAATGACACTTAATAAAACAAAACATTTTTAAACATTTTTCAACTTTTATTTATTACTTTTAAAAATGATAGTATGTCTAAGGTTTAATAATATTATACATTTTCAACAGAGGTTTTCATGCAGACGATATTCCTAATCTTGAAAGATACGGGACTTTAATAAATGTTTATAAATGGTCTACACACGAGCTAGAGCAAGTCATAGATTTAGGTAGCGAGGGTTGTGCGCCCCTTGAGATCAGATTTCTCCATGATCCTAAATCCGCTGAAGGATTTGTTGGGTGCGCTGTTGAAGCTAATATATACAGGTAAGAGATTTGAATATATTTACTTAATAACCTAAATTTATTATCGAGTTTATTTAAGATATACCTACATCCGTCGGTTATAAATAGTTTGTTTATTCTAGATTTTATAAATCCGATGACGGGAAGTGGGCTGCTGATAAAGTTATCGATATTCCAGCAAAAACGGTTTTAAAGGACGGTGTTGAAAATAAAGTTAATGGTAATATATTATGCTTGTTAAATTATATTATATTTTCTAAGATACAATACATAAGAAAGTGGCAATTTTCCTTTCTGAATTGATTTTCGGCTGGCGAAAATGTTTTATTAATTTCATAATCTTGACACTCCGTCTTCAGAACGACATGACAGCTCCATTAACTTTTTCCTAGGTCTAATATCTGACATTCTTTTATCACTGGATGACAAATATTTATACTTTTCTTGTTGGCTTCACGGGGACGTCAGACAATACGACGTATCCGACCCAAAGAATCCAAAACTTACTGGAAAAGTTCAATTAGGAGGACAAATCGCAAATTACGGACTGAAAGTTATTGAAGATAAGGAAATGGAGGTAAAAAGTTAAATTAATTAATTAGGTGCAGTGTTTGAAAATTTAATCTACATATTCGGACTGAAATAAAGCAAATACCGTTTATTTCGAACAATATATCATTAATAAATATATAAGGAACGCTCTACTTCTGTTTTGCTCATTGTTCCTTTGGTCTAACACTTCATAACGCGACCGTAGTTCAAATTAACGCCACATGACTCCACACAATTACCGTTTTCGCTTTGTCATTCATTTCGAGTTCTGCCTTTGTTTTTTAAATTACTTTTCAAGCTTTTAACGTTATGCACCACTGTTCTTATAGTTACGTTTTTTTGCACATAAAATATAATTAATATTTAATGGTTCTAATAATTATAATAATTCTAATAATATTAATTCAGCCTGTTATTCTATTAGAATTTACATAATTTAATCCAAATAATAGAATATCATAACAGTATGAGTTATATATTTTATAATACTGAAGGTACCACCAACACCAGTCTTTCTAAAAGGCAAGCAACTACAAGGAGGTCCCCAGATGCTACAATTGTCTTTAGACGGGAAACGCCTTTATGTATCTTCCTCACTCTACTCTCCATGGGATAAGCAGTTTTATCCGCAAATGACTAAAGAGGTAATTATTCTAAGTTTTCTAAACTATTATCTTCTCAAGTCTGACTTATATGTAGATAACTGAAACAAATAGGTATTTAAAATTAAATTACAATGGCTTGTAGAAAGCAGACGTAGTAAGCAAGTAATTTGTAAGAAGAAAATTTTTTAATAACATTTTCGATTAAGCAATTTATTTAAAAAAAATTTAAATAAATAAAATCCAAATTGATTCAGGGGTCTTCGAGTAATCGGTGAACATACATTAAAAAAAGTATTCCGACGAAGTGAGAACCTCCTCCTTTTTGGAAGCCGGTTAAAAACAATCACTTTAGTCAGTTATGCAGGGAAGAGCAGGCGAGGAACTCCGCAGTTGCTCTAATCTTGGTGTTTAATATTTTTATTACAAAGTTCAATTATATTATTATAAAATTATATTAAAGATCATTTTATTGTGTGTGTTTACTTTATTAGTAATACATTCTCAAATTGCTGAAAAAGTAAATCTGAGACAGTTTCTAGAATTTTATTATATATGCGTATATTAATGCTCACAAAGATTTATGATTATCATTCAAATATGACACAAAGATGTGCCATTTATTCCATATACTGGGTATATTAGATATTAATGCAGATATATAGAGTGCATGTCATCTAGGGAGGCTGGATAGTAAAATTGGACGTGGACACTGTTAACGGAGGCATGAAATTGGATCCAGATTTTCTTGTAGACTTCGGCAAGGAACCGAACGGACCCGTACTGCCGCATGAGATGAGGTAATCCATACATATAATAAAATTGTAACTAAATCGAATCTCTACATTAAATATTTTTTGGAAAATCTTATTGAAATAGGCATAATTATCGACATAGAGTCCGAATCTATAGTTTTTAGAATTTTTGTCTGTCTGTCTGTTACCGCATCACGAGAAAACCACTAGACAGATTTTGATGAATTTTGGTATGATGATAGCTGGTTATCCGGGTCAACATATAGGATACTTATTACCGCGAGAAAATATCTCATTTCTAAGAAAAAATACAAGATCTGTATTGTAAGAGTATACTAATATGTGTGTAAAACCTAAGAATTTGGTTTTTGGTCATTTGAACGCGGACGGAGCCGCGGGCAATGCTAGTTATGTATATATTTATAATATTCTAAAATAATGGGTTCAAATCACATGAGTCATTAAATATTAAATCCTACAATGCTTATTATCTGTATATATTTTCAAATGTGGATGACTTACTTATAGTATAATAAGTATATACATGAGAAGGTATGTTTGTTTATTTGTCCTCCTTTAAAGCAGCGGCAAATCATCATAAATTTTTGCTTAGAAATATAATATTATGAAACAGCAAATAATATAGACTGTTTTTTATCCTGGTATAAAAGAACAAGTTGGTACCTGTGGAATATTATTTCTCGTAAAAAGTTGCTTCAATTTATGTTCCGAATTACTGAAAGTAATGTTATTTGACGTAAGAATATAAGCCAGATATGTCACAACTGCGATGTGTGTATTTTCTGATTATAGTATCTGTATACTTATTGCTTTTTGATTTAATTGTCATGTAATGTATATATATATATATATATATATATATATATATATATATATATATATATATATATTACCATTCTATTTAATTTAGTATTTCTATGCTAGTACTTCACTCTATGCCAATAAGATTTTACAACTTCGTAGATACCCAGGAGGTGACTGCACGTCTGATATTTGGTTAGCTGAAAAGTAAGACGTAAAAGAAAGGCAATGAAAAGGCAATTGGATTTATAATGCATGGTTTATAATATATTCTTCTCGAAATATACAATAATTTTTACTGAAGTTTTCATATTGAATGTTACCTTTATTAATTTTACATTTTTTATATTTATAAGGTTATAATAAATATATTATGTGAGCAGTGAGTGGTTTTTTTAAAAACTATAATTTTAGCTTATATTTAACAACCTAAGTACAAGAAAGTGAATAATTCGTTAATTGTACAAACATATATTAAGAAACGATTTCGTTTGAATAAATAACTATAATAATAATTGTAATTATACAGATAGAAACATGTAATTCATGCGAAGACGTATAATATGGTCAAGTGCAATCAGGTTTACACCTTGAAACCCAGCTATAAGGAATGGATTTGGATCTTTTCGGATTTACGAATTTCTCAAGCTAAAGAGTAAAAAAATTACCTGATGAAAATGATGCTACTTATGTGTATGTATGTATAGTGCCTTCTTTTTGCAGTTATGTATAGTGCCTTCTTTTTGCACCTATATTTATTTTTTCTTTCGAGAATTTGATTTGAAATTTGTATTTTTGTATATTAGTTTAAAATGAATAAACTACCATTGAACAGATTTAGGTGAAATTTGGTATGAAGATAGTTTGAGACCCTGGAATGGAAATAGGATAATTTTTATCTCGGAAATTATCCCTTAAGGGGATGAAAAGGAGGATTTAAGTTTGTATGAGGAATCAATAATTTCTCAAGTAGGTTATGGATATAAAGCTTATTAAACCTACTTATATATAAACTAATATATAGTTTATCTATTCCATACTAACCTTTAAAATATGAAGGAATGGGAAGCGGGGATAGCGGAGAGCATAAGTGACAGATGTATTTCGGCTCCAAAAACCAGTATTTTACTAAAAATATTTTTGTTTTTGGAATTTCAGCCATTTTTAAATTGAATATAAAAAGTGTTATATTTTCAAAGGTATAAACAACGTCAAAAGCCATAACAGTTATTTTTTCCTTAAAATAAATATTTAAAAATTCTGATAATTGTATTTTTTGTGGAGACTTCTAGAATTTTTTGCGGATTTTTAACGGATTTTTAACGGATGAACTTTTTAATTTATGGTATTAAAAACCCAAAAAAAAAACATTCAAATCCATTCATTATAACTGGGTTCTGTCATTTTTCATTTATAACGACTAATTGCACTGGAGTAATAATGTAGGTCGTATTGATCACAAGTACTTGCTTTTATTCCACTTGTATTGTCTCAACTGTGACAGAAGCGGACACAACCCGAGGTGTCAGAGACAGCATTCAATAAACAAGAGCCTGAGCCAAGAACCTTTAAACGTGAATCTCATTTTGAACAAAGCGAGTAAAACAACTTTACAGCTTTTAATATACCCCAAAAATGTGTTAAATATTACACAGTACTGCGCAAAATATTAATATAAATTATTCAGTTCATTCATTTGTAGCAAAGGGTTGGACATCCCCTACCCTACAGGTAGAACATTTCCCTTTGAAACAAGTTTTGTTTTATTAGCGACCTTCGGGTACACTGCTAATGTATCTGCATATTAAAGGGAATAACAATTTCAAACCCATAACATGAACAATTTTTGTACATTAAAAAAAATCTAAATATTAACATGAACCACTCTGGAAGTATAGCGGTATAAGGTCGATTAACAATTGATGTCCTCCTAATCGGTTTCGGTCACAGAGACCTATTTCATTGAGACTATCCAACTAAACAGGAGATATTATAGAGCTCAAATGTTTGCGCAGATATAAGTGCACTCTATATTCATTTCATTCTCAAATTCCGATGGAACGATAATTCGACACGACAGGGTTATCTAAAGTTCACGCGAAAGACCAACGTGCTCTCTAGAACACCGCTTTCTTAACAGAAAGACTTAACAACTGATCTTCACTATATAACCGGGACACAAACCCAGGGCCTCCAGATGTGTAGGCGTATATGCCAGCTACTACACCATTGAGGCAAGTATTCACAATTAGCAAAAATAACTGATAGCATATATAGAACAAAACCTAAATTGTAACTAAGTCGAATCTGTACATTAAATATTTTTTGGAAAATCTTATTGAAATAAACATTATTATCGATACAGAGGCCGAATCTATAGTTTTTAGAATTTTTGTCTATCTGTCTGTCTGTTACCACATCACGGAAAAACCACTAGAGGGATTTTGATGTCATTTGGTATGGTGATAGCTGGTTATCCGGGTCAAATATAGGATACTTTTTATCGAGGGAAAATGAGATATTTCTGAGAAAAAATACAAAAACTGCAATGTAAGATTTTACTAATATGTAAAACCTAAGAATTTGGTATATGGTCATATGAACGCGGGCAGAGCTGCGGGCAATGCTAATGTAGATATATGTATGTAACCATAATTAATTGATTCTTAAATCACCAAGTTCTTATAAAATTAATGGTCAGGACACTATATACATATGTACATATTACATTTGTTATATAAAAATGTTCACGGCATATGATCACTTTTCGATAAAAGTGTTTTCCTGTAATAAGACAACTAATTTTCACAAGATTTTAGTTTTGTTGGTTTTTTGTTGGTTTGGAGGTTTCAAAGATATTTGATGCTTACGTCACTTAATCACATGTAACCTATTTATTATATAAATGATTTAAAACAAAGCTTTATATAGTAGTATTTATCGCCCCACTAATTCATTCGTATAATATCTTACAATAATAAATTAGAAACTTGTTAGGTTTTTTCAATCACGCATATCTATATTATAATGCATAGTCTATGTATGTATTCCTTTATATTATTAGCATAGGTTAATTAAATAGATTCTAACCCAATTCACTTTCGCTTTCCAAGCGAGTGCGCCATAAATAAGCTACTGTTGCATAATTAAACTTTAATGTTGTTTTATCAGCATTTTACATCTTAAGCTATACAATAAACAGCACCGTTGATGTACGTTAAAAGAATAGAAAGAAAACACCTTCTAAACGGGCTATTAATAGCTATTAATTGTATTCAGCCCTTTAATTTAATTTAAGACGTGGATTTGATGAAATATTTTTTTGTTATTAGTATTACATACCATAAACAATATAGATGAATATTGTGCCATTATCTGATTAAAATGATGAAATTAACAAATTGTGAGGTGTGTCAAATGAGGTACACATCAAACATTTATGAAATTTAATCGAGAGCAAAATTATTTATTATATACATACTTTCCTCGCGTAAACATGGAATTCATAGCAAGTACTTTGTCTTTAAAAAAAACGTGTGTGTAATAAGTTATTAACGCAAGTAAGAAGTTATACTTCTTTGGCGTAACAGTACAAAACTAGGTAAAGATTTCATCCCGTATGTCACAACTCTCTGTTTGTAAAAGGAATGCAGCTAATATCATCATGTCGCTTTTTGGCTGTCGGTGTGCGCGCGCATCGTAAAAATTTTACTCTCATAATTTTTTTCGTGCCAAATAAGTGTAACTTTAAAATTAAATACAGTATTAAACAAATGATACTAAATTCAACAAATGGATGGACGAAATGGAGAGGAATGAAGGCAGGCTTCAAACGACAATTTGAAAAATTAGATAAATAATTTATGACTGACTTTTAAAATATTGTTATGACCTTATTTAAAATTTCTGTCCCCGGGTTATCGAATGATAGCACGAATACGTCATTACCAGGTAAATTGCAGATTAGAGAGGATAATGACGGATATTAAACTGTACTTCCTCGCACGTGTTACTTTTGCGTATCTATACACTAAAAGCCGGGAGTCTGATGGGTTTTCCCATCGGTAATATAAACAGAAGGTAACATTTCCATATTCCATAACTTCAAAAATTACGAACTTTCATACAAACTTTCATCCCCTATTCAACCCTTTAAGTCACCTTCGTTATATAGGGGACTTTTGTGTAAAATTTCACGCTCCTTTGTTAATGTTAATTAGCGTTGTTTGTTAATCACTCAAACTACGCGTGATGAAAGTGAATAATTTTCTGCTAAATAGTTATGTTTTTATAACAAAATTAAACATTTATATAGAATGTGGGCCACCTTTATCACTTAGGGGTATACGTTTACCTATCCTATATATGTTTACCTATCCATATGAAACCAAAATTAGGTCGTAAGCAAATCTTAGGCAACTTAAATTTTTGCCATTTATAAGGCCTTGATTTTTACACTTAAACCTTATAACGGATTCTAGTATAGCTATGAAAATACTTAGAGACAGAGTGTCACCTTGTCTGACTCCTCTTTTCTTTGTAAAGCTTGGGCCAGTACTCTCTAACTTCACTCTACTAGAGCTATTGCTATAAATATTTTTTTAAATGTCTATGTCTACATTTTACTATCCTTCTGCTATATACTCAAAAAAATAAAAAAGCCTGTGTTACATAAATGAAGAAAGATAAAGAAAATACAAGCTTATGGTTTTATATACTTTTTGCTCATGACATAAATAATAAGCCGATAAAAAAGTTAAAATATATACAGAATTAAGGATTACATGAAAATTTAAGCGGATAGTAATAAGAAATTCATTTCATTTACTTTCCATCACAGGGGAAAAACGAGCTAAAATAATAAAGATTGTCTCTGCGTCACACTTGATGTGATATTAGGTAAAAAACTTTAAAGAATAATTATAAATTATGAATTTAAAAAACCCCCTACGAAAATTAATTGTCATTTAACGATTGCACTGGCACGCGTGAAGCACTGAATCGAGTAATCATACGCCAAAATGCCTTACATCAGTTTGGAAAAGAGCTGATACTCTTACACTGCTGTACCGATATTAACCAAACATAACTAAGAACTACCGCAAGGAAACTGGCTTTCAAATGAAAAAAACCGCATCGAAATCGGTTCATCCGTTTGAGAGCTACGATGCCACAGACAGACACACACACAGAGAAAGACAGTCAAAC